TTAATAAATTAAATATTTTATATACGTATTTTACTACCAACTTATATTTCTTTTGAAGCATAAATTTAAAGCGAGTCAACTAAAGTGAATCCTTTTAAAAAACAGTGGGATCCGGGCTTCTCGGGACATTACCATGAGCCAACTTTCTGTCTGAACCTTTGCTGATCCAACGCTGAGAGCTTAAAACATGCGCGCATTTTCCTAACGTTTTTAAAAATAATGGAACGATGAGGAAAGTGTAATTTATGTTCCTTTAATTTTAAACTTTTAAGAAAGATTCATTTTGAAGATACAATTATGTCATTTTCTTGTCTGTTATTGTAATTTTGATTTATAAAACATTGTTTATTTACTACTGGTGCAGATATTGTACTGATTTGAATGCAGCTGTATTTTTAAAATATCTATGTTTCTAGCAAAAAAATGTTGCAAAAATTATTATATTCAATTCAAACCGTAGTAGGTACATCATCAAGGTATAAAACCAATTAAAAAAATAATTGGCACGTCATGTCTACGGAAATTTTTGTACATATATTTGCAGAGCACTGTATCCTGTCAATGTTTCTGCTCTTTTATATAATGTTATAACTCAACGAGAAAACTTTGTTTGAATAACAGTATTAATATTATGAATAAATTCAAATTCCAATAATTCCAATAGTACTTTTTGAATACAGTACATAATTTCAAAAGATTAATAAATGAAAAACAATTGATGTTTTATTGTATATCTCGAGAAATCAGAGTTTATATAAAACGACAAGTTGATTAAATATCTTTTTGTGATTCATTTAAAAAATTAATTTTTCTCACTTAATTAACGGTATTTAAGTCTTTTGACCAACTTATTATATTATATATTGTATTATAAAGTTATAAGTTAAAACATTAAAAGTAAAAAAAAATGTTGATTTTCAAAAGTGTTTACTGTTTCATTATAACATAGGCCAAATTGATAAAAATAAATTTTGTATCGATATTAAATTTAATGACTTGTCTCGAGACATTCGGAGGAGCAAAAGTAAGTTCAAAACAATTTTCTTATATTTACGTAGTCTATTCCGAAATGAGGTTCCGATAATGTAGTAGTAGAAGTGTAAATAAATTTTATAGTCCAAGATAAAACCCATTACGCGTGCTTTACGAGAGACACTCCCCTAATGATGCGTGGTATGCAGGGGAGTTCTATGGCTAGGGTTTATATACTAATTCCTGTAAATGCAGTCGTTCTCACGCAAACCCTGACATGCGTTTATAACAGAATAATTAAATAATTTCTTTGCCTTTGTTGATATAAGTATGCATTGAAACTTGGCGATAGAAATGTTATTTTTACTTTGTCCAATTGTATTAAAGATTACATTCAAAATTTTTATTATGATGTAATATTATTTAACTAATATAATATAAATAGTAACAGACAAAAAGGCTATATTCTAATTGAGGCAAAATTTCATGAATACGATAAAATACTTTATAAATCTTAAAGTACGGTTAACTCCCTTGCTGACAATATCAAAAGCGTTGTTTTTTTTATGTCCCATCTAATTTTAAACAAACAATTTAATATAAATGTTTATATCTTACACGCCTATTTCATTCTACTCAAACTCGGAATATGTTGTTATGCTCAAATAAATCTAAAGGGTATCTAAGTATAATTTTATAAAAAAAACTTTTATATCTTATTTATGATAGACGAAAATAAAATTAGTTCCAATTCCCATATACAATCTCATAAAATATCCACATCATGAGATCTGCGGATAGAAAGGGATCCCTTGCAGGCTGCATCCTTAGTATCCCCTAGGTGGCATAACGACTAGTGTTGTGGAATAAATCTTCCCACCCTATCTGAAACGACTCTATAGCCTTCAAGCGAAGGGATAAAAGGTCTTTATTTTTATATATTTAAGCCTTTGTTACATTGTATGATTGGTAGGATTTTATTTCTACTTAATAGTCTCGTTTGTTTTGGTTTCCTAATAAAATGTTACTGAATACATTTCATAGAAGAAAATAGTTTTAAAAATCTCATATAGACTATTGAATGACTGAATGAAAATCAACTTATCTTTTTTATCAAAATTCATAAATATAAATTTGAAAGTTAAACGTGTATTTCAAACACACTTGATAAAACCTTAAAATCAAATCAATTTCGAATGTACATACATACAAACAATATTTGCTTACAATTTTGAGCAGACAAATAAATTAAAGGCCAATAGATAGGTATCAAGCGGGGCAGGAGTGTATTTCGGAAAAATGGGAAAGGTTTCCAAATTTATGCTACAGTTCTGCTCCTTTACCGAGACCATTAAAACTGTCCGTCCGTCCGTTTTCAGATTTAAACCAAACGGCCGACCGTCACGAATGTAAAAAACATTTATCACTCTCGATTTTCCGCCCATAGCCCAGGGCAAGAAGTGTGGTCGATACTATATTTTCCAAAGCAATCGACTTAACCAATGGACAAACTTTATGGGTTATCGGAGATTTAATGACGTTGATAAGTTATTGTCTGGTCATGAAAAAATAAACGAGAAGGGTCTGCGGCTACTGTTCTTAAAATCTGTCGTTGGGTCCCAACGTATCCCATATGTTGAGGATTTTTAATTCATTAGTTCTTGTTATGACTCCCTTTCAGAGTCTCCTATCATATTTCGTTTGTGATAAATAATATATATGAATTGATCCTTAACAATATTATATATATATATATATATATATATATATATATATATATATATATATATATATATATATATATATATTACCTTTCCAAAATCAGATTAATCTTTAATAACTGAAATGAAATACAAGTATGTAAGCTTAAGGCTATTAAATATATTAGTAGGTTTCTGTGCGCCTGCAATTTCTAGCGTATATGCTCAAGACAAAGCTAATTGTAATATAAATCCCCTACTAGTTTATTCCATTACAACGGGCAAGCCGGGCTACTTTTCAGCATAACCTTACGTTCCGTCGGCTGTATAGCAATTTGAGCTCTTTGACATTCATTTATCTCCATTACAGATATTTTGCGGAACCCTACCCTACATTAAGCAAGCCATAAATGCATGGTGTTGCTTAATAAATGGTTTGGGAATCAGGTAGCATAATAAAATATTACATCTTTCAATGTATGTGTGTATTATACAAAGTGTAAAATAAGTATTTTTGTAATGAATCCAACAATTAATTTATAAAGAGTAAAATTAAAATGATGATACATAGTATTTAAAAATTACAATCAATATCTTCAATGTCTGCTGTTATTTGATTAAGAACTATATAATATCGCTTAAATGATCGCTCGCACTTAACGTCAACGAGTGTCAACGAATAATGGAACAAATGACTTTACCATAATCAACTTGTTGCCGAAACTGAAACTCATTATAGGGAAGTTTAAATGACATTTTATAATTCATGTTTCTGTTTTAAATATCAATCAACTTCTCATTAAATTACAATTAAATTTAAAAAGAAAACAAATTTAATTTTTTTTTATTATTTATTTGTCGTTTGTTTCAATGCATTATATAATATTTTAAATAAGTTTCATAACAAAAGTTTATAAGTAGTAAGTATGTATAAATAGTCTTACACTATGCTATCACTGTACTATAGACTGATTAGGTATAATGATGTTGGTTATAAAGTAGGCAGTTTGATGATGTATATGAGATAAATAGAATTAATGAAAAAGTTATATATTAAAAGATTAAATTTTAGCTATAGTTTTATTTTGTATGGTCCAAGTTACTAGTTTTACGAATTAATGAAAAGAGTATAGAAACAGGACTTTTTTGAAATACATATTACAAGTGATATACGATATTGAAATTAAGTATTCCGGCTCGTATCGTTGGACCATATTTACAATACAATTTATATTCCCTAAGTATAAAAATATTAATTTAACATCTTTTTAACATAATGCTTTAAATAAGTCTCATGAAATCAATCTACAAAAATAGCCAATAAATAACTTATTTGATTTGTACCCCTCATCATCAGAGCAGCTGGTTTATAGTTGTATATTTCAATAGAAAAAATAATACTAGAACACTATCATAATACACTGTATATGATTATTATTATATATTTTATATTATTAGCATATTCAATAAAACATTCCTTTCTTGTTATAATTTTTTATTAATATGAACCGTCTATTTACCCCTTAATTTTAAACCACGCTAATGTTCTAGTATCATTTTACCGAGCTATTACTGTCATAAGCAATACATATATAACATATTATTCGGGTATTATGTCTATATTTAATGCTTTTATTCATCAGTTTTGCTTATATATTGGTTTATAAGTACCAATTTGATGGCGTTTCATTATAACGTATTCGATAAACTTAGGTATACAAAGTTATGTACGGACGCTACTACTAAATACAATTATTTATTACTATAACAAAGTTCTTAATAAAAATTAAAATATTATAATATTTGAAAATTAGTAATCTATATTGCTCACATTTGTACAAAGTTTCAATCATGATTGGTGTTCTAATTCAGATTATACATGTATAACTACTATGCATTTATACACGAATATCGTTCATATTATAAGATATTATGACATAACCAAATTACTGTACACTTTATTATCAAAAAATTAGAAACAAAACGACAAACATAGTATAAAGAAGAAAATATTATATGTACAATAATCTTCTGTTTTATATGAATAAGCGATAGGGTATCGTTGATACTTTTTACAAAATCAATGATGTAAATAAAGGGCCTTATCACATGAATAAACAATTTAAGTACAAAATCCAAAAGAACTATAAATAAACGTTAATATATTTACATATCTATATACAAAGCTATCACATATTACAATTTTAAACATCACTATTTACATTATTGCATTATTGAACGCCTCCGCCGTCACTCTTAATAATTGTCTGTTATACAATGGCGTGAAACATGATATTTTTTTAGTTTGTTCACAATTGAAAACTTTTGTTAAACGTATACTATATGCGGTTTTTCTGGTGTTCTGTGATGGGGTATAGTTTCATAGGCAAATTGTTGGTAAATATGCTCTTCGCTATCTTCTTGATAATATGGACTTTTATCAACACTATGCCATGGAGAATTTAGTGAATGGAAATTATTAGTAACTGTTGAACCGATCATTAAATATCGATCCACTTCTCGCTTATTTTCTGGCTCTCTAGTTCGAGTTGAATATCCTAAACCATTCGATAGTTTGGACACGTCGCCGTTCAACATGACAGTGTTCATAACTTGTTTAGATTTATCGCCTTTGCACTTTTTTAACGGACCCATGAAATATAAAACTCCACCGACCACACTTATAATGATACTCCCAGTTAGCACCACAATTGCGACTACCACCCATCCACTTGAGCATCCGAATTCGGATTCTGGTATTTGTACAAATAAAACACCACTTAAATGTGCCGGCGCTGCACATTTCACTTCTTCGTAATCTATTTTCAATATGGTACTTGAATTGTCAGACTTTTTACTGGGTATTTCACACGCTCTTCCCAGATTCCACAGCCATAATATGGAGCAATTACATACAAAAGGATTACCAGAAATTTCAAGTTCTTGCAGTGTATCTATAGGAAAATGAGAAGCTTCAAGAGTCTCCAGGGCATTATTTTTTATGTATATATGAGTCAGTTTTGGATTTCCATGAAATACTCTCGGTGGAACCTCCCTGACGTTAAGGTTTTCATTCATCCATATTTTTTGCAAATTTATATTGTCTACAAAGGCTCTTGCATCAATTTTTTCTAACTCATGAAGTCTACTTAAGTGTAGATGTTTTAAGTGGAAGAGACTTTGGAAAGATAGCGACGAAATGTTTTGAAAAAAGTTTCCACTCAAATACAAATGCGACAAGTTTGAAAGTTTTGAAAGTGCAGATGTTGGAATTGTTGTCAAATTGTTATCACTGAGATCCAGATGGCGTAGCGAAGGTAAGTTATGCATACCCAATTGATCAATACTTTCGATTATATTGCTATTTAAATTCAAATGCTTTAATTCTTTTAAGAACGGTATACCATGTTTTTCTACAACTTGAATAAGATTTTCAGAAAGATCCAAAAATTCTAAATGTACGAGAAATATTAAATTAGCGGAAGGTATTTCTAAAATAGAATTGTTTCTTAGTGATAAGATCCTCAATGATGAAAGGGGTTCAAAAGTATCAGCTTCAAATGTAACAAGCATATTGCTTGATAAATCTAATCTTTCAATTACAGATAGATCTTTAAAAATTTGTGGGTGTATACTTGAAATATCATTGTCCGACAAGTCTAAGTCGAGAAGCCTTTTAAGTCCAACAAAAGTGTCTTTGTCCAATTGTTTCAGAGCATTATGACTAACATTTAAGTGTGTCATCTCCAAATTATTATCGAAATTTTTACTACCTAAATCCCGTACTCTGTTGTACGAAATATCCAGAATTGTAAGTTGAGTATAAAATCCGAATGTATAAAGAAGATTGTCGATGGAGTTGTGAGTAAGATTTATATGAGTGGCCTCTGGATTTAGTTGAATAGGGACTATTTCCAGGCCAGCATTTGCGCAAGAGGCTGCTCGCAGAGCATCGTCGCAGGCGCATCTTGGTGGACATAAAGTTCTTGCAGCAGCACTGCTTGCCCACGCTAAGGCTACCACCAACCAACGCCACTTTTCTACGCCGCGTGAGCCCATAACATCTCATGTATATGCCAACGTAACCCTGTAACAAAAGAAACCATTATTACAATTTTAAATTATTGGTATCTTTTATTTTATAATTGTAATCTAATCTTTCAGAAATGTTTTAAAATATATAAATAAAAATAAAAAGAACAAGAAACTGTATTAGTTATTTATAATTAATATAATCTACACTTATAATTTTGAAGTTTATACGAAAACAAAAACAAAGACTTAAATAAATATACCATTTTTTGGATAAAACTGTTACAATAATATGTTTAAAATACATAAACGTAGTATAATTTTAAATAACCGACACTATAAAAAAACATTGTATTTATTTTAACTATTAGCATAACATTCATTGCTTAGAAACCGTTTCGCTAATCTACCGCTTCCTAAACGGTGCCTGCACAATACCTTCCGAAATGGTTCACTGTTTAACAAAGGCTTTGGTACTTTAAATTAAATGTTCGGCTTTACAATTCGACGGAATGTATAATGAATAGCACCGTAACATCTGTTAACGAAGGCGAACGATCTCGAAAGTTTTCACGCGCGGGAATAACTAATTGCGAAGATTGGAATTCAATTTATGGCTTCTAGTATATCCACGGCTCTCGGGAGATCACGCCACGGCAAAGTATTATTAATGTAAAACAGTGTCACGCAAAGTTTATGATTTCAAATGCAAATTCGGTTAGGGACAACGTCAGGAATATATAACTTACTCTACCGCAATTATCATCCAGCACTGAGCATTTATGTTTAGTTTGTTGCCATAAATGAGCAACATAACTATTGACCACGTTATTTTTAAACAAGACTTGAAAAGTATATACTTATTTAAGGAGAAAGTTACCTATCCCATAGCAATTTGATATTACTGTTCGAATGGATTACGCTGGCTCGCCTGAATTACAGAAACCATACGTGTACGCACACTCGATACATATTAGAGATTCCCCTTTAAGACGGGATTAATTCTATTGGTATTTGAAAATGTATGTAATTGAAAATAAATTAGGTTTTTCATAAATAACAACACGACACTCAACCTATGCAGATGTGCTTCTATATTATATATAAAGAGGAAAAGCTCAACAATTACTCACGTCATATTTATCTACATTTACTGTACTGTCTAAATAACAAAAGCAGTCCGTTTAAATTTCATTTAATTTTTTCAAAAGCAACTATTTACGCTTCCGGCAACAATTTCAACATTATTTTATTACAATAACTTTTTCCCTGATGGGAGGCAAAATCAATTTGTATGTATCAACTATTACCTACTTAATTATTTTGAAAAGTACTTTTATCATAGCAATTTGAGATTAAAATGGATTTTTACATATTATATTCCGCAATAATCACAAAATGGTACAAATCTACTGGTAAGTTTTAGAGATTACCGTTTACAAAAGAACTCAGAATCTTAAAAACTTTTTCATTTATTAAGGCAATAAGTAAAATAGCATTATTAAACGAGATTAAAATTGAAATAAAAACCTTGGCTTTTCTTAGGTGATGATGATAACTCGGATAAGCCGAGTAAAGGGAGGACACGCCTTTTATTTCCGTGCCTGCATTGTTTCTAACAGAACTCTTTTGTCTTTTAATTTCCTGTCCGCTGAGCTTACTGCTATCATGAATTTTGCTTTCGTGAGCTTCGTTAACTTGTAACGGCCTTTGTCGTTGCCTATTGAACTTTTCCATTACAAATGTCATCGATCGTAACCGCTAAATTTGTTGGAAAATTTTTCGTCACAAATGGCCTCCGTCCCACTGAAGGAACGTCGACTGTTTTAATTTCCCTTTATAAAATCGAATGTGAATAAAACTTTGTTTTGCTTTCTTAAACGCACTCGTAATGGAATTTGAATGTTTTCTTATTGAAAAGTTGAAAAGCCTTTGACGTTAAAATGAGAGATTTGATAAGCTTAATGGACTTTAAATGCTTTCGGAAAATTTATTAAATTATTATAATTTAATAAAAGTTATAATTTATTAATCTATTTTGCCTCAGTATTTTCATACAAAAAATATTTTATAATCTCAGTATTTCTATAGAATAATTGTTCAATACATTTATGACAATGCATACAAATTAGTGACATATAATTTACGACACCATTTCATGGAAATTGACCTCAAATATCCAATAGTAACAATTACTGTTATTGAGTCGCCTGTAATTCACTAAACACCGACCCCACTCGCAGCAAATTCAATATCAAGCTCAGCTTTGCTATTAATAACAGTCAACATCAGTGGCCATTTAAATTATTGTTCAAACTATTAACTTTGGTATCATTGTGCACTGGGTGATAAGCAGTTAGGAACCTACCTACTAAAGTTATCACCGTGTTAATACAACTTGAGACATTACTAACACAATGGCGGTTCAAAGGGAGTTTATGAGGGGCTCTGTGGCAATAAAACCAAAGTAAAAGGCGACTAACCACTTCTTTCAGAAAAAATATTTGATCTATCTATATTTAAATAGATATCGAATTCGTTAACGGTCGTCTGAACATATGTATATAGTACTGAAGCAATTCGATTTCATACTACAACATTCAAAGTAGTTCACAAATTTAAAATAAAAAGTATGGTGGTCATCAATTCATTTCTTAGTCAGCAATAAATTATATTGGTTATAAATAGACGAACTTTTTCAGGCTTTAGTTTTATGTAATGGCAAAGTTTTGTGTTTGATGTAATATCAAAGTGAATTTTGACAAGTTTTAATAAGTACCTAAAAAATCATGACGATCGCAAGATGAATTAAATTGTTTGAGAATAATTACAAAACGTTTATTACATAGAAAAGTTACTAATAGGAGTAGTTTATTTTGCATTTGTCTTAAATAAAAAAGTAAAGTTATTAAAAAAATATATTTCTTCACAATAAGAATAATTTTCCGATATAACAATTAATTACCTTAAACACCATGAGATATTTTAGGTAAATTATTGGCGTTCAGGGCCATTTTAATTAATTCGATATGAAAGTTAATCTAAGTAAACGATGATTAAGTGTCCACACCCTATTTCACGGCCCCTAACAAACTTTAATGGTACAAGAGAGCTCACCTGCCAATAGTTCCGCTACCTTGCTATTGATTTTATAATCAATGCCAGATCAGAAAACCTTGAGCTCTCGAACGGGAATCTCATTTAATAATTCCCTTCATAAATAATTCAATAAATACATATTTAAAATTTCTCATTTAAATAAATATATTTAGTTTAAAAAATTGCTTATTGACGCTGAATCATTTTAAAGTCCGCGCTACAACACAAGTTAATCTGAAAGGATTATAAAGAACGGTTCCCAGACAAAAAGTATACACAATTCCATTTTTCCTTTCAGTTACGGGGAGAGACTTGGTGAAATAGGTTTCTCTATAGAGGGCTTTATGAAAACATTAACGAGGAGTAGAAAAGCGGTATTCAGGTGTTCACCCTGTAAGAGGCGTCGATGAACGCCTGTGGGAAGAACAAAACTTTTCACTTGGCCCCGTAATGGCGGATGCTACAACCACGTACTGCATGTGCCTCGCTTATCCTACTGCCACTTTCCAAAGGGCTTTTAACAAACACCAACTTGCTTTCGCTTTGACTTTCGTCGCTTGGATCACACTTGACTTGCTTCGATTGGATGCCCTATTTGGAGGAATGTGGATCAGGATAACAATTTATGCCAAATAGTACAATCCAATTAAAACAATATTTTACCCATCCACCGAAAATATATAAATTTAAACGCAATTTTCAGATTTATATTTATTTAATTTAATGTAAATAGATTTATATAATTTAATGTAAATACTTTATAACTGAGACATCAGTAGAAATATACATATGTACTAATATCATCGGTACAAATCTCGAAGATTCTTGTAGGTCTAAATAAGAAATGAGCATAAAATATATCTTTATTTGAAGGTCATTCCAACGCAATCGCATTCATACAGCCTAAACTGAAATCCTTTAGATTCCATACGAGATAAATAGAGGCTCTTTCAGGGTTATTAAATTGAGTAGGATTCAGACAAACGAATCGCTGAAAACGTTCACATTATTTTTACTATGTAAAGATCGGTGCTTACAATAAATAAAATGAATCTTTAGGTAAACCCAACACTTTGATGCATTCAATATTCTTGTATCAATGCTTTTATTTTTTATAGGAATGAAAATATACTATGCATCATCAAAAATACTGTGTATAATGTTTTTAAAAAGTAATTAGCTAGCAGAAAATTTTTAATTAAAACTCTTTAGATATTTTTTTATTTCATGATAAAAAAAATTAAGTCATTCACATAGAATTGCAGCCCTAGCGTGTCTAATCTCACATTTCAATAAAGGATGCAAGGTATCCCACGTTTGCAGCCCTGGCGGGGTTAGAGCACTCGGCAGCCGTAATGCGTTTTATGAATGAATGGCGGGATTTCATATTCAACTAGCCATTGAATCGAGGGAAGCGCAATAACGCAACTTTTTACGCCTAGCTGGTTTCTACAGTACGAACGTCATTATAGCTTTATATAACAGAATACCAGCCTAAAGATTTTATAACAATAAAAGCATTACTGTACCAAACATATTACTTCTGGTCTGTGGATCTTACTGTTTTGCTTGAAGTGCTGGGTACGTATCAATTAAATGATAAATAAAATTGATCTTTGCGAAATTGATTGAAGCAGTTTAAATATGTACATAAACTTCAACAAAAATACCTTATTCTTAGCCCACATAAAGTCATTCTTGTCAGAAATGGTAAAGCAATTAAAAGTTATTCATCTAAAATTAAAGTTACTTTTTCAATTTCTTGGAGTTTCGTCAAAGGTAAAGTGTTTATTGTGAATGCAAACACAAATGGCTTACCTCGCTCAAAGGCAGCAGTAGAAAGTTGATTAATTCGATTCGTTCTTTGATCACTGATTGCAATTGCTGTACGACAAAATTTGATTTTAATTTAAACCTTAGTAACTTAA